TTCTGTGACTGCGATTATGTCTGGCTTTGCAACTTATTAGACTGGATGAATTATATTCTGGAAGTATTTTCACTATCCTCCGATTCTGTATAGATTTCTGGAGAATATTAGAGAGACATTTATTTATAAGCAAGATGTGTAAAGAAGAGTTGCGAAATATGTTTAGTATCTCCATATTTATATGTGAGGATTTATTTCGTGTTGTTAATATTTAATAGCATTTTTTCCATTTCGCTGCAGTTTCAAGCTATATCCTGACTTATTATTTACTACTCTATCTCTTTTTGTTAACGAGTTACAGTAACGAACTAATTAACCTACCACTCTATTTCTTGTACCTTGGGGAACTCCACTGTTTACACGTACGCACAAGGAGAGAGCTCCATTAACCCTTACCCTTTGTCTCCTGTCATTTTGAAAGTTACTTATCCAATCTACAACTGTATAATGGATTCCAAAACGTTACAGTTTGAATTTAAGACCAGAATGGGAGACCTTATTGAAGGCCTTACTTAGATCTATGAAGATCACATCTACAAGAATATTCCGATCTTTTACCGCAGCCCAATCTTCTTTTGCAATGAGAAGATTTGTCAAGTATGATAGGCCTCTCCGAAAACCATGTTGCTCCCTGGAGAAAAGATTATACCCTTCAACATAGTTTACAATAGATATTCGAATGATTTTTTCCATCAGTTTTACAACCGCACTAGTTAAGCTAACGGGTCTATAGTTACTAGCATAGTCCCTACTCCCAGCCTTATACAGCGGACTTATCATAGTGTCTTTCCAGTCTCGGCAGTCTGGACTGCCTCAGAGACATGTCAAACAGTATCGTTAATGGTTCAGCAATTACATCTGATATGGTTTTCATAATCCTAGGATGAATATCATCAGAACCACTGGACTTATCAGGTTTGAGATGCTGAAGTATCCTTAAGACAGTACCATTCTCAATGACTACAGCGTCCGTCAGCGAGCTGCCACAATCACAATGAATCGTTGGTCGTTCTACATTACTGATAGAAAACACTTTACTAAAATATTGCGATAAAGCTTCAGCTTTTTCGGTACATTTGAGCGGGGTGTAACCTGGTCGTATATCATGTCCCTAGTTCTAAAAATGAATGACAAGACAGCGTGATCGCTGTTCACTAACGGTGGAAGAATATTTAAGTAGACAATATCCTCAGTCTCATGAGTGATTACCAAGTCAAACAGGGAAGAACCTTGCTTGCCACCTAAACCTGTGGGTTTGGATGCATGCTCTGTTATTGTTATCAGGAACCTGCTATCAAAGTAGTTTGTAGATCCTTCCGTTGTTATCTCAGTCCAGCTAATATCAGGTGCACTAAAGTCTCCTATTATCAAGCATCTTATTTGCACTCCATAGTTGAATGTGCTCTAAAATAAAGTCATCAGCTAAGCAGATTGGGCTGTGATAGATGACACCGAGAATAAATGTACCAAATCCGAAAGCCAATGTACAAATAATGACTTCACGGCCCCCAAATGCCCTGGTACGGCCGATAGTGGGGAGAGTCCGCTCTCCCTCTCGAAATACTCTCACATGGCCACGCGTATATAGCCTCTACCATGGAAGTCCTACTCATTGCCTTCTCGTGGAGGGGGTGTTATTTACGAAATTGAGAGGACGAAAAGCGAATGTCCGGCGCTTTAACCGGGTTGGTGGACATGGAGAGTCCACCTAGGGGAGTTGGTAAACCCTGATGCCAAACCAATGGTGCATATTTTTTTTCGTGCCTCCTTGTACCAATATCTATGTGTTAAAATAAATAAATAAACTTCACAAGTACCGCTATCATGAGATTCGCTAGCAGAGGAGCTATGTATAAAAGGAAGCCACCTCCATTTCTACATCTATGTCAATCACTCCTTAGGGAATGGTATCCGGATAATTGTGGAGTAATGTCTAAGCCACAGACTAACCAAGTTTCTGTCACAGCTACAAGTGGCCTTTAATTTGTCCACTAATGCTTCTAGTTCATAGAACTTATTTCTTAAACTACGAGCGTTGGCATATAAAACGCCTAGATAGAACGGCCTATCCACATAAGCCTTGGTAGCATTCGCTTCCAAGACCTGACTATCCGAAAACCCACTAACCGGAGATTTTCCTCACCGTTTTGTCGACAGGTTTCTAGTTCAGCTAGTGCTTCCTTCTTCCTTTTTATTCTATCTTCAAGAGACATATCAGGTCTAAGACGGACGTCTGAATTGTCGTGACAACGAGCGCTACTTAACAAGAGATCCCGTTGCTTCTCCGATCCTAGGATTACCTTAAGGAGTCTGCATGGTCGGGGTTCAACGTTGTCCTCGGTCCTCTTACCTATTCTAACCAGTTTTTTATACCTGAACTGCTTTAAGGTTATTTGGTAAGATACTACGAATATATTCTCCCAGTTTCTCCAAATCATGCGTGTGTCTAATTTTGGGATCAGGTTCGTTTGACTCCAGCAATTTTCTCACAATAATATTCGATGAGATTAGAATCTCCTTCTCAGTCATCACGCCAGCGTGGGTTTCTCTCTTACTATCAAACTTAGGTAGTGCATTTTGTGCCTCACAATGAGAGCCCACCAATGACTTGCTAACCAGCTGCGTACTGTCTACAGCTTTTTTCGTTTCGTTTTCTCCATATAGTAGTCCATTTTCCATCCCTCAGGACACCGGGACGATGTGGAACAGTGACGGCTTTATCCGGATCTTGAATTTCCACTGGAGGTGTACGATTAACAATGTCAGGCAGTACTTCCCTTCTCGTTAATGTTAACGGAAATTTCACTTTTCCGTCAATCACAGTCGGGTGTTTGAAGCATCTCGTAACAGCACGTACACTGACACGCTCTTCACTGTCAGTGCTCGTGTTTTTAGCGTAACCGCCATCGTTCTTCTTACAGGCCAAAGTCAATAAGCTCATAGCCTCCCGTATTAGTGACGTCTTATTTGCACAGCACAACATGCAAAACCAATGCGAATTCGGGTTCGAGCATCTTTTGTATGCGGTGGGACTTAAACGGGTACACATCTTATGGAACCACTTTTTGCACTTATCACACTGCATTCCTTCATCCACAGGGAACAAACAGTTTGGTTGTCCACATTTATGAGTACTACCGCCCACTGTAGTCAGATTAAGGTTTAAAACACAATATGAGCAAAAGTGTCAGTCAATAAGTAAAAGGGTACCACAAGACGAACTCATTGTTACTCGAGTGAGTTGGAAGCAAGAATATTGTTTCAACGCTGTTAGTGAATCTGTACTGTGTTTAGTGGGATTCTGAAGTTCATACGAAGTGTCTTACCACAGAACAAAGTAATCATGTAGTATGGTTCCGTATACTCTAGAAGACTTAAAGGCTCAAAACCAAACTCAGAGCTTTCACACTTAGATGGTTGTTCGTCGCATCAAGTCTCCAAGTCGTAGTATCCTACTAAATGCGTGATACCAGTGTAATTTGTTAACAACCTTAATAAAACTGCAAAGACCAATTTTCATATGAAAAAAACTACTAATATATTCCACATCTCTCCGCATTGTTTCTTCATATATTATGAAAGCATCAACCAAATAAATTCTGTGCATTAATAAACGTATGTATGACATCTGTCGTGGTAACCCCTCAAAAGATGCTGGTACGTTGTATCTCCTCATGATTCTTAATGTCTCGCTCGTCGTCATTAGGAAATCAATAATGTAAGTTGTTTAATTATGATAAAATACCAATTCTTACTTTGTGACACTACACTTAAACTGTCTGCCACCCTGTCATTCGCTCATTTTGTTTTGCATTTAAACCTTTATTAAGATTCACTCTATGAGGATATTCGTTTTTATCCTCACCCTTTGTAAAATAATGTCCTGTATTTACTCAGCTTAGTGATTTTGACGTTATCAATTTGTTAAATAGTACCTTACCGAAAATCCACAACACGCTGAGGAAAAATATCGCAGACTCAGTGTCTCAACAACACAGATGGTTTGCGAAAAGTGTAAGTCGAGTTTTGCGTAACAAGTTTCGATTGACAGGCGAGAGGAAACTGGGCAAAGTAATAACTCCTGATCCCTGGAAAGCTGGTGCACGGAACACAGTCAGTGGTGGTGGGAGGAAACTTAATGAAAATAAACTACTAACTAGTTCCAAAAATCGATTTAGTCCTTACTCTAATGCGTTCCCAAGATGCAGAATATGTGCTCAAACCGTACATCAGCCAGGTTCCTATTACTGTCAACAGTGTGCATTCAAGAAAGGCATTTGTTCGATGTGTGGTGTACGTCTGGTTAATACAACGCAGTATAACCAGTCAGCTGCCTAGTTGGACTTTTTGGGACATTTAAAGTTCTATTTCTGATTTTTCGAAAACATGTGTAAAATTAGTGTAAATAACATCATTTATTTCTCAACCTGTTTGTTTGCTAACTTTATGAAAACTCGAGTGTTTATTTAATTTGCATATCAGGGGAATTTAAAATCAAATCTCAAAATAAAGTTGATTTTTATTTGCTTGTATTGTGGCAGTACTTTAAAACATCAGGATATTAATTTGTATACACTTTAGATAAATATTTTCGTGGTGAAAGTGCCTTCTAATTTTGCAGACTGTTTCGTCTGAATTTTTAACCGTTTCCAACATAATTCTATTCTGTAAAAAGAGTTAAAAAGTACTAATTACACGTAAGCATTTAACAACGATAGATATTTAAAATAACCCATAGTGTCATTGAATAAGCAAAAGAGGTTTCAGCGAAGGAAATTTTCTTTTCGACGAAACCATTTACTTTCATTTGATTTCATGGAATGTTATGTTATTTCTGGTGTGATAATACGCTCTAAATTACAGTTTCGTACCTAGTATCAGATAACAAAACAGTCTTTGTTAGCTTGACTAGGATTTTACGCCGTCCATGTATGCTGTCTCCGAAATGCACATTCAGGATCCAAGTACGGTCATTTGCTTGAGCTCATCTTGTCATTATGAAGAACTCACGCGATTTAACCTCCCAATATCCGGGGACCACATTGCTAATTCGCATGGCCTCGCTGGTGTAGGTATAGTATTAAGTCAAGATGGGGACACCTTTACTTTTTTGTTTTCTCAACCTACGCTCACATTGGCCAGCTCGGATAAAGTAAAAGATGAATTCCACGAGGTTATTTAGGTTCTTTCAAAAAGCTAAACGCTATGATGCAGTAATAGTGAAAGGTGATTTTAATGCTCGAGTAAGTTGACTGAATTGGACCAAAAAGCTCCTAAATGGGTCCTACAATGTCGCCGCTCAGTGAACAGATAGTGGCAATCGTCCACTGCAACCATGCTCAGATAACAGTCTACTTTAAAAAAGAAACACCAACTTTAAACATGAGGAACATCATCTGACGTGGTGAACCATACAATTTACTCAAATAGATCACGACACTAATCATCGTTAGAGGGACTCGATAGAAGCCTTGTTCATTCTGGAGCACAGGTTTGAATTCGGATCATACTATAGTCCAAACACATAGTTGTCTGCATCTTGATGGGCGGAGAAAAGCCACATCAAGAAAACCCCTTGGTGTACAACTTAATGACGAGAAAGTTAAAGATATAATTCAGGAACAACTGGAGAATGAGCTAATCAGCCGAAAGAATGATACCCTTGAGATAGCTCGGTATGATATCCAAAAAGCTGTGGAAACAGTTGTGATATCTACTAGTAAGTGAAACGAAAGGGTGAGGAAACGTTCGTTTCATTTAGTCTAAAATTTACTCTAAAATAGGATTATTTCTTCCAGGTACGTCATAATTAAAATATTTTCGGTAGTTTTTCATTAAGCAATCCTCTACGATATCATACATAGTAAGTTGACTGAATAATGATGAAATCGAATAACCCTTAGTATAGTTACTGTTAATTGAAGTCATGAAAAAAGGTAGCGACAGAACCTACCTCTGAATCCCTCAGATTAAGGTCACCGCAAAATATACTTGCACGGCTTTTGTTTAAATGAGCTTGAGAATCGCCACACTTGACATAACTGGACATTGTATCCCAAACACTTTTCAATTGAGTCACCCGTTCACCAGAATATTCTGCACAACTTTCCAAGTGTGTAGTAAATATTCGTAGATTTAATTCTACATTAGACTTGGATAGAAACTGTGATAAATTCAGATCAATAGATAGTAGATGACGATCCATTACAGAATTAGGAAATGTTTGAATTTGTTTAAATTAACAATCTCAACAAAACTTCGACGATATAAGCGATGCATGGGTTAGGAATAGGATATTAAGTAAGGGCATTATATCAAATTATGTAGTAGAAAATCTTCACCAACCGGCTATTGTGACGCGTTACATATGATCGACCATCGCTTAACCCGACAGCTGGTGGAGTAGGTTTGGAGAAAGGTAGGAAGGACCAGGCGGAAACATAGCATCTGTTGAGTGACAGTTGCATTTAGCCATGCTAATATGTGCAGAATACCTGGTCCAGGTCCATGTGATCATCGTAACTAATTGTTAACGACATTTAATGAAATGGGACGAAATCGCTTGCAGTGACGAAAACTCCTGATTTATATTTTTCCATCGAGTCGTATCATTAATACCCAGTCTTTCTTATTACTATTGATACTGTTACCACCTCTAATATTCCGAGGTTTTGGAATTTCATCTCTGTGCTAACAGGGCAACTCGGACCGATGTACATACTTACCAGGTTCTGTGGTGTGACTGACTGAAACGCGTGGAAAACTAAACTGAGATATCAGGATTCCAAAAAAAGCTATTTCACTCACTTAAATAATATTTGTGAGGAAATAGCTTGTATCACTTACGTTATTTATTCGAAGACTTTATGATATGAGCCGTAACAAGAGACGAAGATTGATACTTGCGCTAATACTGCTTTACTTACTGCTCGGCCTCATGCATAAAAGAATTATATGAATGATTAGCGGACCAATATTTGTGTAAAATTGATCGATTAGAGTACTGACAAGATGTAAAGCAAAACAAATTGTACCGAATGGAAGTCTTCCATGTTAATTACTTTCAAACCGTTGATATTATGTTACACAGCCTGATTTTCCAACTTACATCACAAACGAAAACTGTTGTCACTTTCGGTACACGTGAAGATTTGAAGTACTTTTTTTCATAAACATCATGTTACTAAACCTCTAGAGCATCCAGGTTCGCATTTAAAGTATCACCGTTTAGTGAACCAAGCATTATTATTCGCCGGAAACGTATAGGTAGACAGCTTGTAAAATGTTTCAACAGATACATTATTTAAAATAACGAGGTAAAAAGCCAAAGTAGAGCACCAGTATATTCAAAAGTGACATTTTTAAAATAGCTAATTCCATTTGCAAGTACTTAGTATTGATTGGTAAGTCAACTGGCAATGTTGGCAACTTTTTAAGACTATTGAATGAGTGGCTGATCAATCATACGACCACGGAAACACAAAGGCCATGCATTTGAAGGATCTGTAAATTCAGATGCTTCCAGAAATAAAATTACAGAAAATTATATTTGAGATTTTCAAAATGAATATCTTTGATTGGCACACAGAAGTTATGCAGGATGCTTTACTTCTTTACCAAAGAATCCTGAAAGTGTACCTTCTTCACAACCGACTTTTGATTTGTCACGATCTACGGGGATTTAACATATTTATAACATTGAGCTTACTCTTAAAATCAATGTATACGATATCGAAAGCCGCAAAAACATATGCTTTAGCAACAACTGGAATATAATTTCTAGGATAAGATAGTTCTGTATTGTCATCACATCCATGGAAACCTGGGTGTCCTATATAGCTAAAAAGGTGGAGTCAATATTGAAATACCAGGATATATCCAGAGTTATTAGCTCTGAATATAAAAACGATCGACAGAAATTTATTATCCTTTAGTCGAACAACAAGAAAGTAAGTGCAACAAAATAAGCAATGCGAAAACACCGAACGTTACCCCCGGCAGTTTGAATTTAGCGCGAGTTGAAAAAAAGTCCGATTCGAGGACGGACATTAGCTTCAGATAAACGTCTATTTCGAGCTTATAAAAATGATCGAATAAGACTTATTCTGTTATAACGTGAGTATCAAGGCACAACGAATGGCTCCCTAATTACTTGCATGCACAATATTATTTTGTGCTCCATGATACTATGTAGATAGCGATAACAAACGCAAATATGTCTTCGAAAATATATTGAAAAAAATTAAACAAATGGTTTTTTACACAAATACAAAATCACACTTTCTTAGAATAAATAAGCTTATGAATTCTCTTCTGTAAGGATTTGTCACGCTTTTTTATATATTATTTTGATCTTAGCAGAAAGAAAAACTGGCAAATTATATGGAAAAACATGAACTACGAGAAAAGGCGTTTAGATTATGCATTGAGATACATGAATAAAGAATATTCAACTTGACAACTACAAATACGTGTATAGACTAGGCTCCAATCTCACAAATGCATTGATAGTTAATCACCAAATTTGATTCAGTAGATTTACTTATATGATAATGTTTAGCAGTCATGTAAAACGTAAAATCTGTGACGTTTCTTTATCGTTTTTGGTCGCCATACCAAATGAGCATAATGATACCGGGTCACAAAAATACCTTGGTTATAGACGTTGTAACAGAATCAGTGGTAATGGAAAAGATAGGGTGTAAAAATAGGCGAATACATTTCGAGACTCAGGTTCTGACAGGAGACAAGAAATAGATGTACTTATGATTTTGCTCACGATTCCGAACCTTGCCAGGTTTCAAACGATTAGTTACGATAATTACGCGGACCCCAATCATGTGGACCACACTTTTCTGCATAGCTCAGTTCGAAGCCATGACTTGGATTGGCTTCCAATAGCTTTCTTACAGCCTACAACGCCAGACATCGAGCGTTGAGGCAGGTAGTAGTAATGAATACGTGATACACGTACCTAAGTGATAAATATTTACTACCTCCTCAACCGACTTGCAATCCTCACCTAGTATCTTATGGTTAACGGTAGCATTGCTGACTCGGTGAGCATTTTGTAAACTTCTCTGATTGAACATCAGTAACCTACGTTTGTCCTCTATTCTCAATAGGATTGTTTCACACTCATGGAGCAGACTGGAGCAAGTTCGTCATTTGGTTACTAGACACATACATTTCTTACGTCACATGAGACACGATTCGACAATACCAACCGAGTTTTTTAATCCTTGACAATATTTCACCAGACACCAAACAACCAGGACTGATGAGACTTCCATGATGGGCTGTGATCAACGCGCTTAACTGCTTGACCTCCTACCATAAGTACCGCAGTCCTAAGACAACATTTTGGATTTAAATAAGGATAAACGGGCTCCAAAATATCTTGATTTTTCGCTCAAGATTGTCGAAAAACAGCACTATAGCCCATTCTTGAAGAAGCCTAACCCTTGAATAGTCAGATAAGTAAGGCACTGCCCTCAAAATAACTTTTGTAAAGTGGTTTGATAAAAAAGGGGAAAATATACAGTTCTAAAGAATACCACTCGATGTAGTGTTCGATGCTTGACCGTTGTTGCTACCTTGACGTGGTGGTCGGGCTTGCCTATCGTGATGAAGCAACTGAGCTATACTGGCTGGAACAATTCTTCCTCAAGGTCCAACCGTGTCAGACAGGTCGGTTGAAGAGCGGTAAGACTAAAAGCAACAAAGCCAAAGTCCGAAGGCGAAGTCGTACTGCTGGCTGTACAGAGGTGTAACAGCAGTAAGGTGTTTCCGACAGAGAACCAGCGTGACAGCGATGCTGTCTTCCCACAAGGAGGGGTGGGGTTAGAAAAGGTCGACCCTAAAAACACACACGTTGCCTTATCCCACGGATTTCCGTCTCCGGCGGTAAGGTCTCAACAAGTACGGAGCTAACACAAAAATTACCCATAAAAAGGTCGTGCGTGACTGACCTCAAGCAGTTGTCCCTTGGGCACTGAGGTCACGCTCTCAGGTTACTAAGATCACCTCTATTTAATTCGCTTTTCAGGTACCTCCAGAACAGCCAGGAAGTGCTAACTGCCATCATACTTGTAACAGCACTCAAGACCACTGTATTCCTAATCAACCTCAGTCTTCACTTCCTATTACTCCTCCTACATCGACTTTCAACTCTAAACTTCCTCTTTCGGCTTCCTCCTCAAGTGTCACCATAGCCAACGATTCTAGTGCTCAAAATACTGTCCCGGGTCTACTGAAACCTCGCCTTAAACTACACATTGGAGCCTTCAACGTACGCACCCTATGTCAAATCGGTCAACAGGCTTCCTTGGCTAGAACCCTAGAATCGCGTACCATTGATGTATGCCGGTCAGCTCTCGTGGACTGGCAGGAGTAGGGATAGCAGTGTCTGTCATTGAAAGGCGTACTTCAGAATTAAATAGACCTTGTAAAGGCTCTTTACTCGAACACTACTAGTCGAGTCAGGGCTTATGGCGAACTGTCATTTGCGTTTGCAACCTGGAGTGGTGTCCGCCAAGGCTGTTCACTTTCTCCACTTTGTTTAACTTCATCATAGACCTACTGATGGAAATAACATTCTCGTCGACTGAATTCTCGGGTATTGATCTCCTAACAGAGGTCCACTTATGGACTTAGAATACGCAGATGACATAGTCCTGTTTGGTGAAGACGCTGACAAAATGCACAGTCTTCTGGTAGCAATAAGCAACAATGCCGGAATGTTTGGGATGCGCTGCTCTCCCTTTAAATGCAGGTTGTTGCTTCAGGACTGGTCTTCGTCAACACTCGAACTAAGGATAGGGAGTGAAGTAGTCAAACGCGTCGACAACTTCACTTATCTTGGAAGTCTGATCAGCTTTAATGGGTTGGTGTCTGACGAAATCTCAGCACAGATTCGAAAGCTGGTTTGGCTTTCGCCAACTTACGTCACCTATGGCGAATGCGAGATATCCTTCTATCAATAAAAGGACGAGAACACTGCGCGGCAGTTCGTTCTGTTTTAATTTACGGCAGCGAAACGTGGCTATTGGGAGTTGAAGATACTCGTAAGCTACTAGTATTTGACCACAGATGCCTTAGAAATATCGCTGGCATCTGCTGGGATCACAAGGTAAGTAATGGTGAGGTTAGGTGCATGGTATTAGGGAATGATGGCAAACCAGTTGATGAGGTTGTGAATCTTCATCGACTGAGATGGTTGGACAACGTATTACGTATGCCTGAACACCGAATACCACGGCGCTCTATGCTGACTAGTGTTGGAGATGGATGGAAGAAATTTAGGTGTGGCCAAACCGAAACGTGGCATCAGTGCCTGAAGTCACTAACTTCTGGCTTGAGCCATGTTGGTAGATGCAGACTACTTGATTGGGATCTGTGCGACCGTCGTAACCAATGGTTGGAGACTCTTGTTGACATAGCTCGGAATCGATCACAATCGCGTCGGTGTATACACTGTTTGTCTTCCCTTAAACTAAGTGATTAAAATCACTTCATACCTTTCTTTGTACTAACTAATTCTTTCTCGCTGTACTATGTCTTTATATGCGATCTTTCTTCTATATATCACCCCCATTGAAGTAACTACTTCTATGAATCCAGTGTTCATCTTGTTGTGTTAATGATGTGTGTGCCTGGTTCTACGTTGTAACTGACTGACTGACTTTCACGACTCCTTGATTGGGGTCCTGGAGATTGTGCAACATAGTGGCTAGAGAAGTTATCAGATATGGCTTAGAATAGAAGTCAGTGGCGATCGTGCCGTAACCTTTTATTTTTTTCATAAAAAGTGGCCTTAACTCCTTTAAATGAGAGAGTTCTTTTTACTTGTACCTTTTTGTTTGCCCCATTATTATTCTTATTCAACTATCATAAACTAAATTGTGGTCGTTATTGTTCTTTTTTACGCACCTTACATTCTTTATCCCTTACCGTCCTCATTGTTACTTTATGGCGCATATGTGTCTGGTGCCCCCTTGTACCAATATTTGTGTTCAACTATATAATGAAACAAATAAATTTTAGTGTGGAATTTTCATAACATGATTTTAACTTGAGACCTCGTAATCGTATCAGTCATCGCAAATTTATTCATGTTTAAATATACAAAATTAAACAGTCGATAATCTGCAATCAGAAGTTAAAGAGTTTTTTTCGCGAGCAGTTTATACTTATGTGTTGGTAGTTGTTTGAGAAGCAAAAATGAACAGGAAGCAGATAACGTTTCTGTAATAATTATAAATAATTATCCAAAGTTTTTTAGTTTCATAGATTTCTAGAGCTTATATACGTAAATGTCAAATTAGTTGTCACACGGACTTTGACTGTGGGAAGTATGCTCGTAAATCTAACTTAATTTGGAGTTCTGTCATAGTTGCAAACACTTTTAAAGATCTCTGGTGATTGTCGCAAAAGTGTGGAAACGCTATGTTCACCGATTAGATGACGATTGTTAAGTACATTTAACAATTTTATTTGAAGTTTCACGTCTTACTAATGATCTATTAAGTGTTAATGGATTCCTTAGTTGTACTGCTTAAAAGTACCAATTATAGAATAATCAGTTTTGAAAAGTTAATTTATATACCACAAATCGGCATCCTTAATTGACTTCACTTGACACCTGGAATATCTTTTTAAGGCATTGTGTAACTCTTATCTGGTGTTGTTTCAGTTGTCTTGAATTCCTGTTTTGGTCTTCGTTATCAAGTAATAATAACATATAATGGCCCCCTAAAATCACCAAAGCGAATGGTGTTTTTGAGAGCTACTTTCTTTTTCCACCCCTTTTTCGTATATCAGCTTATCGAACTTGGAGCGCTTTTGATGGAGCCAATCTTCCCAGGGAGATGCTGATCTGCCTGAAGAATATGAGTGGCAAGTATGTCTGAAGAAATAGTTCCAGCAATCTTTTAAGTGAAATCCTCAGTGTTTGGTACATGTTTCTTCCCTTCGTACTAATTTAGTACTAAAGCATATGTAGTTTT